GAGAGAGGGAGGTTCGAAAGTCGGGCTCTAGCGTTTCACGGCGACACTCGAAGGCGCATAATCATCCTGTCCTTTTGTCGTTTACCGTCGACAGTTGCGCCGCCGTTCCGTGGCGATCAAACCGACGTCTACGGGTTTTCTATAGGTCATAGGGGCGTTTCGGGGGTGCGCGAGGAGATCGTTTCCCTCCTCGAGTCTCGCTTCTCACACCGGGGTTGCTTTTCCGCTTCTTGTTCCCTGGTTATTAGGGCTGCCTTTGGCCGCGGGACAATCGAGAGGCACCGGGTAATGGGCGGGGCTTCAGGCAGGACCGGTGCCGTCATAATTCCACCCTGTCGAGGGGCTCGGCGCTTCCAGCGTTTCTGGAACCGCGCGTTTTTCACGGCGATAGGCGCTCCGTCTCCCCCAAGGTGAGAGGTTTTTTGGTTTTCGGTTGGGTTTTTGCTGCGAGGGCTGTTCCTTCGTTTTGAATATTTCTTTCTGGGGAATAACATGAATTTCTGTGTATTGTTACGCTTTATGATTTCTATGGATGGTTAACGTTCGTAGAAATAGGAGTGGATTAATCTTGTTGCTTTAATTAAAGTGAGAGTTGATTGAACTTGTAGTATCTGAAAGTTTGTAGATTTTATTTGAAATGAATCTCGATTAAATTTTCTCGTTGAGTATTTTAGTATTGTACAGTTCGGTTGTATAGTTTAAGAATATTCCTGCAGTAAAGTTCACGATGCGTTTGGTACCCATTTATCGGGTCTTGGTTTTCCGTAATTGATATTCGTCTGAAATTGACGAATGAATAAGTGAGAAAGATTATTTACAAGGGTGATTGAATTTCTTCAATTTTTACATCGCCGGTCGAGCGCGTCCGCTCGACTCCGAAACGATGAGCCAGGAACGAGTATCTGACAAGGCAACCAGGAACGTCCTATCCAATTCCAGCCGTCATTCCAAGTCCAAACATAACGCCATTCTACAGGGCAAACATTTCTACTTTTCGACGGTGCAAACCTTCTGTGATACCTCGGGGTAGCTTGCTCTTCAACTGTGCTGACCATTTCGCGTCTCATTCAGCCCCCGTCATTCATCCCCCTTTTCATGTTGCACATGCTTAATGGCTACCTGTATATTCATGCCGTTTTGCGCGCAAATCAACATTCAAATTGCGTGCGCATACGTAATTAGATTGAACAGTGGCTCCGGGGTCAAGATCATCCCTCGCAACAACGAGCTCTTGGTTAATTTAGCGCTTTTTCTTTTGTCGACGATCAACCGTGTTTGACTTCCATCGGCAACGCGCACTTTCTTCGTTTTCAAATTGTGTTGTAATCATTCTTCGCCGATGAAAATCTAAAGCATGAAGTATTCAATAATTTCAAGGAGCTCAATTATAATCAGTGTCACAGTTCCTTTGAAACCGACAGGAAATGCACAAATAAAATAAGTTAAAGAATCATTCATCAATGAATATTATTGTCAAAGAAAAAATTACTGAGGAATGAAGCTTTAATTATCAAGATGCCAGCACATTGATAATAAATTTCATTCCGAATCGAAAATTCCCAGACGATACTTTGAACTCGATTGTGGCACGTTCCGTCGTCCGTCGGCCAAAGGAACCAACATGGCGGCCGTTCAGAGGCGTTTAGCTCCGAGATGAAGTGCGAAGTAGAGCATTCCCTCGTCGATGTTCGACGTTTGCCAGCCCCCATCGTTCAATGCAGTCCGTCCTCTTTTTCTATGTCAACACGAGGGCCAATTGAGTGGATATAATAGCCGGTACCACATGTTTCACTCGGATTCGCCGACATGTGGGTTCCGTCCGCGTCCCTCTGCACGGCTCACTAAAACATTAACAGAGTTCTGCGAAGGGAGGAACGCGCGGCGCACTAACGACAGTCCTCGAAGTCATCAAATTGATCACCATGATTTGGGTACTCCCCCATTATTCCGCCGCTAAAGCCTCGTGCACGCTGCGTGTCGCGCTAGGAATTACACGAGCGGATTCAATTACGCCTGTAAAAATCGTGTTCCCAAGCTCGTGAAACGATGCCGTTTTCATCGGAGAAAAATTCAATTCTCCAGATTCACTGCTATTAAGTTTCCTATGCAAAGACTATATAAGTATCTAACAAAATAAGAATCTTTCTTTCATTAGGAACACTATATTATTTATCAAATAATTTCCAATCCGATTCACAATCAGAATACAAACATCCGACCGAACATGTCATCGTTACACAATTATCAGAAACATTCGAAAGACGCTTGATTATTAAAAACCAGTATCTTCCAAGAAGAAACACAGTTCCATAAAAATATCCAGACGCCATGTCCACAAGGGGTAAAGCAGAAGCCCGGGCCGAAATTAGCGTGACCGAAAACCCGAATGGGCGGCGTTAACGCGAAAGGGAGGGTTCGCGGCCATTCCCGTCGGCGCGCACCCACGTCGCTCGTTCACGGAGCCGCAGAGAACAAGCCGGCGTTCGACGGAAAATAATAAACTGGTTCACGTTTCCATTCCAGGTCCTACCATGCGACCGTTCTCGACCGGCAATACAATGGCGTTGGAGATACCGACCAGCCTGCCTACCGAGAGGGTGTCCTCGCCGACGCCTTGCCGCAACCTGACCTTCTCGATCGAGAAGATCATGGAGCCGGACAAGCGACCGTCAGCGATCCCATCCGCCTTCAAGAAATACGAGCCGACGTACCTACAATATTACCCGTTCTTCTACTATTACCCGAACCCGCTGCTGAGAGCGTTCCCGGCGCCGCCGGCGACGACGCCGACGGTACCCCAGAACTCAGCGCCGCCCACCGCCGTCCAGGAAGCGTCTTCGAAGGTGAGCCTGACGGCAGTCTCGCCGGAGAGCCAGCGAGGCAAGAAGAGCCCAGGGCCGAGGAGCAACGAGATCACCGAGAACAACAAACAGAAAACGTACACCTGCCCCGATTGCGGGAAGGTGTTCAACGCTAATTACAACTTGAACAGACACATGCCCGTCCACACCGGAGCCAGGCCGTTCCTCTGCAAGATCTGCGGCAAGGGTTTCCGGCAAGCCAGCACCCTGTGCAGGCACAAGATCATTCACACCAAAGAGAAGCCGCACAAGTGCTCGATCTGCGGGAAAGCGTTCAACAGGAGTTCCACTCTGAACACTCACCGGCGTATACACTCGAACTACAAGCCGTACACCTGCGAGGAATGCGGCAAAGGGTTCCATCAGAAGGGCAACTACAAGAATCACAAGCTGACGCACAGGCCGGAGAAGGAGCACAAGTGCAAGATGTGTCCGAAGGCGTTCCATCAGAGCTACAACCTCAACTTCCACATGTTCACGCACAAGGACAAGAAACCGTTCTCGTGCAAGATCTGCGGGAAAGGATTCTGCAGGAACTTCGATCTGAAGAAGCACATGAGGAAACTACACGACACCGGACCGCCGATGTTGAACGAATTGAGCGCGTCGGCTCAGGGCAACGGTCAGCAGTCTGGTTACGCGTCGGTGCATCACGGTCCGGGTGGGCACTCGTTCGTGCCGCCGTTTCTGCTGCCGCCGCCAGGTACACCGGGTTACCTGGCTCAACCCGACGTCGTCCCCAGAAGAGACTATCCGCTTCCCAAGGACGATCTCGTGACGTCTTATCCGTGGCCGGATCTGCTGTACAATGGACACCGGACGACCGAGTCCGCCGTTGAAGTCAAGGCACGCCAATGAACCCTGAAGAGGATGGAACTGGAATTTGGAGTATGGTATGCTTCGGATTGTCGGGGATCGTAGTGCTGCTCGATCGGGGACGCCCGCAGCGCTGGGAGACCGAGAAGAGATATACCAAAGAGAGCTGAGAGAAGACGGCGCGGATGGCCACGGGACAACCAACTACCTCAGCTACGGCAACCAAAAGTCACGGGAGTCGGGATCATTCCTGTTTTACCTTAAGATTAGCCTCGGGTTCGCCGGTGGATCCGTTTCCGCGGGAGACGTCTCCCACGGTCCGATGACACACGGGACGATCAATGTTTCCCAGGGAAGCTGGCTCTCCTTCGGCGCGGGCTGCGCGAACTGTGTTTCGGCTCTGCCTCGCTCCGGGACCCGGCCGAGCGACGTTCAGTGAGAATCGTCGCACCTGTATCGGATCGGGGCTCCATTGTGCTCCGCCGCGGACCTTTCGTCGTTCGGTTCGCTGCGGGATCGCGTACCGCGCGGATCAAAAGTTTCGAGCTTCGATCGTTCCTCTTTTCCCTTGGTTTCGACGGAAATTAGCGGAGATCGTCGATCATTCAAACTTCTTAATCTTCGTTGATCGGGTTTCGAAGTTTTCAATGCTCGAACGCCGGAGTTCGGCAACGAAAATTCCTCGTTTCACGCTTGAAGCTTAAACTTTAAACTTCGTGGAACGTTTCTCATTGATTCCTTCACTTTTACGACTTTTTATTTCTCTCGTTGTCAATGTTCCCGAAGCAGAAACGATCGAAACGGTTTCAGGATTTATTAGATAAACTCCAATTGCGTCTAAAGGAGACGAAGAAACACCGTGCATCCATCAAACGAGGAACATCGAAGCTAATCAGCCAGTCGAAAAAGACCAGAAGCATCCCGACGCGAAAGAAGCATCGCGCCGGCGGAAAACAGAAACATTGGAGCGACGTGTCGGAGCCCGGTTCTTAATTTCCGAAAACAAGCGGATCCGGCCGCGCCGATCGAACAAAAACCGTGGCCGGTGAAACAGCGCGGATAATCGAATTAGGCGACTCGCCGCGGACAATCCCGGCCGCGACAATGATATTTTAACCGAGCCCCCGATCGGCCGGCCGCGCGAGCCGCAAAACACCGAACCG